GCAAGAGTGTCATGGCGCCGGAGAAACATCTTCAGGAAATCTTAGACCCGAGGAGATCATGCGTCCCGGATAAAGTTGGCTGCCATCTGCAGGAAGATATCCCGTCGCGCGACAGTGGCACGACGTTGGAGAAATGCCTCCAAGAAGGAAACTCCCCAGGGAACCTTCAGATACCGGAGAAAGGACTTGGCGCCACGGTCTTGTACCAGCAAGTGGCGAGAAGTCCAGGAGGAACAACGACGTCAGCGAGTGCAAACAACGCATCAAGAGCTGTTATGTCGACATAAGGAACCTCCGAAGAAAGAAATGATCAAGGATTGGACTTTGTGGAGGGGACGACCCCCTCCAAAACGGAAAAAGAGACTCCAAGCAGAGGAGGAGCCAGTAATGTAGAAAAACCAGCCTCCCCAGAGAGAGTGAATGTGCCATGGAAGAAAGTGATGGATGAATGGAATACAACTGGATCTTCTGGCGAGCTGAAAGGAAACCGCTCGAGACAAGCAGGTCTTAAGTGGGGAGCTGTTGTAACGGCCGGATGATAGTTGCTGTGAGAAGTAGCCGAAACAGGAGATGCTGCAAGAACAGCCTCCAAAGAAAATGAACGGGGAAGCACCGTTAGGCTATTCGGGACGAACAGCCTTTAGGAGGGAGCAGTGTGACATGTTGCGCAACGGAGAACCCCTCCCTACCCAGCAGCAACGTGGCAACTCAGGCCACAGTGACGTGGCGGATGAGTCAGCGCTCCCTCCCCCCCTCCGCACGGTGACGTAAGACGGCGTGAGGTAACAGCGTTGCTAGGCTATACGCAACACGACGACGCGGCACCGCTTCCTACTGTGACGTGGCACGCAACGACGCTGTTGACGCGGTAAACAGGTAACAGCGAACGGAATAAAAGCCGGCTGAGCAGCAAGCGAGAGCCAGTGTGTGTTATCAACAGTTCTCAAGGCAGCAGCCTACATGTCAGAGCGTGTGATCGACAGATCTCCAGTCAGCAGGGAACGAGTAAAAGTGCGATAATCAGTGTTAGTTCGTGATAACCAAGTAATAATTGGGAGTGTGTGATACAGTTGGACTTCCATAGCTCCCGTACTGTGAAAACGTGTAGACTACTGACAATAGAGTGAAGAGATTATTGCGAATAGGGTTATAAAGTGTAAAACCCCGCAACATTGTTATAATTAATTGTAGCCGATAATTGTAGGTTGTTGAATAAACCAAGTAACAATCTCTACGGCGTCTTCAGTCGCTAAACATGTTACAATACTAATTCAACCGTTACTGGAACCATACAATGGACGAAGACTAAAATGGAATTGACCAGCCGACCTGAGAGAGGGATAACGAGGACTTACCTATGGATAAGCCCTCTCCACGTCATGAAGAATACTACAGCAAATTAGCTTATAGAATCAAACGTAATGCTGATTGCTAATATTATGTAAATAATAAAAAAATATACAGAGCTGATGCCTGGTCATGAAGGTCACAGTCACTTGCCCAGTTTCACGAGATTCTTGTTACATGCTACGGAATTTGACGACACATAACCAACTGTAATTTATCAAGTGATATATGTTCTTATGATAAAGCTAACAGTGTCCCTGTGCTTAATTAAATAATCATCATGCTACAAAGACTTATGGAGGGAATGCAGGTACAGCTCCACCATTCTTGACCCCCACGCTACATAGAAATGAGTGGTGATCTTCACGCCCCGGCCGCTTTATCCCCTGGTACCCACTGGATAGGAGGCTAGGCAGGGCCCAGAGCCTGTCTGGACAGTGTGAAGGAAAGAATCTATTGCCTTTGCTGGCAGTAGAATGCCAGCCATCTGGCTCACAGCCCATCACTATATTGAGCTATCCCAGCACCATACTCTGATCAGGGGTAGGAGGGAATGTCAAGAGTCCTCTTTCCAAGATCTGTATCCCAATTCAAGCCTTGTTTACCTTTACTCATTAAGGTTATCTATGTGCAATTCAGATCTCACCATTCAGAGCATTAATTATAGCACAAATTATGCTCCTAACACTAAAATTGGCAGCAATTATTATTCAGTCATATGTATTTGCAGTTTTAAGAATGGCCTATTGTCAAGTATTTGCCTTCCAAGACAATGTGGATAGATATCCATCCAATGTTGGAAATGAATCATGTTCTGAGTGGTCAAACTGAATAAAACCATGTGTGTTTTAGTCTGTATAGCCACTGGAATTGGTTAAAATGACATTATTAAACATATTACAGTACCAAAATACACTACAGAAAAATGTCAGATGATTATGATGCCTTATTTTTTAACATTAAGGAATTAAGAAACAAGACTTCAATTATAACAATGATGCTATTGTAGCCTGTCAGTCATTTGTATAATGTAATGATGTCATAAGAGGAGTTCAAAGAAAGATGGCTTGAGAACCTCTCATGTAAGACATATAGGAATGCACAGAACCCAAATAAAGGTTCTCTCAAACTAAACTAGTCATGAAGAGCTTTCACACAACATAATATGTTCACTTACATTATAAATATGCAAAATTCATTATTCTTACACATGTAGTACTTTAATATCATCAGCAAATATGACAAATTAGAGAGTTTTGGCATATTTCAAAATAAACTACAATTAAAAAATAAAATCAAACTTGCATATACTGATTTCTTTTACATTTTATTAAAAGGAATAATTACTTATCTGTAAAGTTATCCTGTAAAATTCCTTTGTAGCAATGTGTCTAATATATATATGTATACATCCTGCAAAAAACTATCAAATCTCCATGATATATGAAATTGCCACAAGTATCCCAAATCTCAGAAGCAGAACTGTACAAAACTATTTCATTGAGTTTGGCACTCCTTGCCAATGAAGTGACTGTGGGAACATTCCCACAGCATCTGGCAGACAACTGTCACCCCTTTCAGAAAGTGCCAAACAGGCAGCTGTGGCCAGAGCGATGCTGATATTTATATAGCATTCGATGTCCAACCCACTTGCAGATCATCACGTGCAATAACCAATCACATTGCTAGCAGCACTCATATTTAAACAGCGCTCGATATCCAGCTCACATTTAGATCGTAACGTGCGCTAGCCAATCAGCGCTCATAATTGCAACTGCAAATTTCGCTCCTCCATCAAGCATGGTATAAAAGGTGGAGCGCCAAGCTCGCAATCATCAGTATCGACAAATCCCACATGACTGAGCTGATGATGACACAGCCTTGTGACTCTACCACCATCTGATCTGGGCAATGCTTGGAGGCTGGGCTTCTACTGCATGTGTTTCATTTATGTATACAAGTGATAACAAATCAAAACAGGCCTATTCGTCTTCTGGCAAATTTCTGACACCTATTGTGGGCACAGGCAAATGCCCTTAACCTAAGGCAGTAGAAGGGGAGAGTCTTATAAATGCAAAATTGTACATTGTAACCAAAATGTCTGTCGAACATAAAACGAAATATTTTGTGCTCAGCGTTTGTTTCCCCAACTCCTTGGAAATTTTCAGATCTATTACAGGGAGCACTGCTGTTTTCCATAGAAAATACAGATTATATCAGTGATGTGCTCAGTGTTTGTTTCCCCAACTCCTTGGAAAGTTTCAGATCTATTACAGGGAGCACTGCTGTTTTCCATAGAAAATACAGATTATATCAGTGATGTACGTGCAAAACAAACAGTACTAATAAAATTCCAGTATACAGGGCAAAAAAAAAATTGATATCAATTAACAGCAGCAGGAAGTGTACGATGACAAGAGCAGCCCATGTTAAACATATAGCAAAGGGAGAGACAATTCTGAGCACCAAGCAATCATCTCGTCAACCATTTTAACAACAATAAATGCAAAGCATGCAGATGTTATTATCAGAGACAAAATGTATATCGTGAAAGGAAAATACTGCTACACTGTACAGGAATGCACATAAGCTTAATGCAAACAAAAACTGAGGAACTTTAGCATTACAAAATTTCAATGTTTTCAATGAACACATCTGACTGGACAGTGGTCCATCATTCAGAACTCGTTTCTCACTTGCTGACACTGTTAACACAAGTTGCTTGTTGGCTGTCAAAGAGATTTATCACCATATACTTCCATCGACTAACATGGACAAGAGTCGGGTTTTCCTACCCTACACACAAAAATTCTTAATGACGTGCATGTACATCATTAACATTTGTACAAATTACAGCAACACTGTTTCTGGTAGGAATTTGAAACAAGAGACATTAAGAATGCCGTCTTCTGGGATGTGGCACCATGTAGCTCTTGTGTGAACCGATGTTCCTCTACACAGCTCCACATCCCAGAAGATGGCATTTTTCATAATCACCACCATGAAAACCTCAAACCTTACAAGAGACATTAATATCATGCATACAATATCTGGTTTTGTGGTTGGTAAACTTTTTTAGGTTAGAGTTTTGAATTACTTTACAGCATCTTTTAAGATTATGTCTATAAGACCCACACATACATTTAAATAAAAATACAAAATAAAATATTTAAAATGATATGCACACAAACTGAAAATATGCCTGAGCCTCCACCTTTCCAACACCCTCACAACTCCTGTTTTATATAACATATATACCATATAAATGTGTGATACACTGTCATGTACTTGCAAACTACTTATTATCATATCCTTTGTTTCCAGGTCCATTGTCAGAAGCCTTTCACTGTTAACTTACTAATTTATGGCCACATTCTGATTTCATACTGAGAGTTATATCTTTGCTCTTTATATTCTCTGACATCCCTTATAGTAACTCATGCTTACTGTTCGTCAGGCCGCGCCATAACTCAAGCGGTTAGTCGCTGGCTTCCCACCACAGCGGCCCGGGTTCGATCTCGGGTCTGGTCAAGTGGGATTTGTGGTGGACAAAGTGGCACTGGTGCAGGTTTTCTCTGAGTACTTCGGTTTCCCCTGCCAATCTTCATTCCACCACTTGCTCCACAATCACCCTCACCTATCATCTGGGGCTGCTACAATAGGCCAGAAGTGGCCGCGGATCAAGGGACTTAGTCACACCCCACTAGCAATAAAAAAAAATACTGTTCATCAGAAGAGAGATGTCACTCGGCACAGTCCCCTGCTCTTCCACTTTGTGCACATTGCAAGTTGTATGGCTTTCTCCACTTTACCTGCCCACTTATGTCTCTATTCCATCCAATGGACAGTACGAACAACAGACGGCAAGTCTTACATTTTTTCTACACTAAAAGGCCTTTGTTTTACATTTTCATGAAGATGAATTTGTACTCGTATTTGGTAAAGGAATGAGAAAGTGTTACACAAAATGTGGCAAGGGCATACAGAAGTGGGACGTAGAGTGACAAGCTTCTAGACCTTGGCTTTTGATGGACATGTGATCACACTCATGCTCCAGCCATGTTACCCTAAAGAACGGGCACTCAGTATTAACTGGACGAGACCCAGAGACGTAATACATGGATAGAGTGGGGCCCAAAACTGACAAGGAAACAACAGTGAAATAATGACTGTAAGAACAAGATACTGACTTCATGCAACATGATATGTGTCCAGGTGTACAGAGCAACTACACAGATAGTTTACCCACAGTATGATGACATAATATCCACATCAAGCATTCAGTGAATCATTTCAAATGTTATCCACTAAAACAAAAAGGTGAGGCAATTACTAAGCTTGCACATGCAAACTGTGCAAGATGAATACCAAGGTATGATTCAGAATAACTCTTATCATTGTCGCTGGTATATTTAATTTTTTTTGTAGGTTTGAATTTGGTTTTGCAGGTTAGTAACGAGAATATATATATATATGAACATGAAATAATCTGAAAGTGCTTGTGGCCTAATTGATGTACCATCCAGGCTTTTGTCTGAAGGGAATTATGAAAACCACAAAAGAAAAAGAACCCTTGAAGAGGACAGCTGGTATCTCAGCCAGCACCTCCTAAATTCAAGTCTAAATACCTCTAGACCAACCTGTTCAGCAGCGTACTGACGCTCAGTGTGTCTTAACTGAACAGTAGAATGATCATTATTAAGTAGATCTATCCGCCACATGCCTTACCTTCTGTTCTCTGTAGGGTTTTACAAGACTTATAGACTTACATTCTGACAACCCTTCACACAACTACACTTTTGGTCAAATTACAAACAGCTACATTATCAAGTGAATTGATGGGGGAGAAGAAGAATGCATACAAAATTTAAATCTTAAAATCCTGGACAACTTGGAAGGACCAAGGTATAGATGGAAGGATAATATTAAAATTGATGTTAGAGAAATTGGGTACAATGATGTGGACAGGATTCATCTGACAGGAAAGTAAAAGTAAAGTGGTGGATTCTTGTGAACATGTTAATGAACTTCTGGATTCTGGTCCTTAAAAAGGCTGGATATTTCTTCTCAAGGATTTCAATCCATGGAGTTAGCTCATTACTGCAGCAGAGCAGTGGACTTTTGAACTTTTAATACATCTTCACGCAGGATAAGTCTTCTTATTTACATACATACATATATGGCAATAGATGACAATTTAATTATCATTAACAAGTGGTGAGATTCAAGTTTACATATACCTTTCAGCAACACTGTGCCAATTCAGAGATCCTCATCGCCAATTCCTTCAAAAGCATCGTTCTCAACAAATGGATGTGGTATCTGCTTACTGGAAGATTTCAAACTCACACCAGACAGCTTCTCTGACAACCTCCTCATAGACGACGTTGAAGATTCCGTTTTGCTAGGAGATTTAACTTCACCATTCTATTGATACATTACAAAGTAAATCATTATTATAATCAAAGATATGAGATAATGAATATTTCAACCATTATGGCATCAAACTCACTTCATGTCTTACTTTAAAAAATTCAGGATAGGAACTATAATGGCATTAAAAAAAGTAAGTAAAAGTATCCCTATAACACGACGTAAAGGCCCAGAGGGTTGTGAGATGTTGAGGTTCCCATATTTTGTAGACAACTGACTCACAGATGGCGATAAGATTGTCAGCCTTACGCACCGGCTTCCCTTTACCCCCAAGAATATTCCTGGTACTCATTTCTGTTAGAGGCTGAGTTGACCCCAGGGCCATAGTGCAGCTAGAAGGTTTAGGTCAACTGAAAAAGATCTACCTCATTGGGATTCGATCCTGCGACCTTCCAGCTTGTAGCATAGTGCCTCAACCACTACGCTACAGGATACCCGTTACTGTAATGGTATAGCCTAGTAAATTTCTGCTGGACCTTGCAAGCCCAGTTGTTCTTCATTTTGGGCCCAGTCAGGAACCACAACCAAATTTTAATTCATTCTGAGACCGCTTATGTCTGGAAATTGGGTCTCATCTTAGACGAGAAGGGGATGTGTAATGTTATGGGCGTGCCATGCTGTACTTGCAGAGTCCAAAGTGTATTTCTTTACGGTGGTGACTGTTCACACTATGGTCTTCTGGATTGTGATATCACACAGACTTGTGTCATTGCTTCATAACCCAGAAAACCACAATCAGACAAATCTACATGATGTTCTACTATATGTGTTCTTTTATCATAATTCCCCTTCCCCAAGATTCACCGCAAAACGGGAAATTAACCAGTTCTTACCGTTGAGTTGACTTTTGAGCAGATTCCATCAGTGGATGATGATTGGCTAACACTAATCAACTGACTACTACCATCTCTCTTCATATAGGACCAGCTGCCTTTTCTTACTCTGTCACCAGGCTGCATGTAAAATCAAATACATAGAGACAGTATAGGGCTTCTGTCATTTAGGAAGTAAACACATTTCCCCCAAACTACTGGCATTCTTTTCATTTTCTGCCACAAAGAAGAAGCCGACTAAGCAATTAAGAAAAGCAGGTATGGCACATAAACTTAATTCACGAGTGGGCAAATATTTTTACTTGGAGGCCAGATAAGACTTCCAGAGGCCACAAGATTCTGATGTTCTGAAATTTCAGAGCCAATTTTCTCATCTGCTACTTCTCACATGTCTTTATTCTCTGAGATCATACAAGTATGCTAATTCTAGTAGTATATCTTGCACCTTACTTACATGTCACCTCCAATTTAACTGATATTTCTTTAATTCTACCAAATTTTCAGTTCTGAGTAGGTCTCTCATGTTTATATTCTGTACTGTCTTATATTTTGGAGCGAGGATACCTCAGTTTGTAATGTAACAGGCTACAGGCTGGATGGCCAAATTTCAAATCCTGGCAGGATCAAAGGATTTTTCTCTTCTCTACAGGGTCTGGTCCAGCTATGGGGGCCACTTACCCTATCAAATGGGTACTGAGGGCACTTTCCCACGAGGCAAAGAAGCAGGCGCATGAAGCTTACCACTCACCTCCATCTACTGCCAAGGTCATGAAAGGTGGAGCTATAACTCAACTCCCCCACACATCTTCATGGCATGGTAATTATTTCATCAAGCACACAGCCAGTTTTACCATTTCTTACCTTTTACTGTCTCAAAATGTTACTCCTAGCAATGACCTAAAGAGTTTCATGCACGCAGCTTCAATTTCCTTTCGCCACCATAACCCAACATTCATTACTGGAACATAAACTTGGCTTAGTTCAGCCAATAACACAACACATGGCTGACACAAGTTCAACAGTGTTGCAGGTCAGATTCAATTGTTTCATAGACTGTATTTTATCCACCTCTGGTCTAATAAATTCCAACTGTTCAAAGAGACCCTGTCCAGGATGTGCTACAGCTCAAGCGGTTAGTTGCTGGCTTCCCACTGCGGTCGCCCAGGTTCAAGCCCGAGTCTGGTCAAGTGGGATTTGTGATGGACAAAGTGACACTGGGGCAGGTTTCCTCCAAATACTTCAGTTTCCCCTGGCAATCTTCATTCCACCAATATTCTCCATCATTATAATCACCCAGGGCAGTTACAATAGGCCAATCAGTGGCTGACGTGCTGAGTGACCCCAGCTGGACTCCACCCCCGACGATGCGAATTAAAAAAAAAAAAAAAACCCTGTCTCATANATAAAGGTAAAGCAAGCAGAAAAAAGTGGAACATAAACAGAATTGAAGAAATGACCTTAATAACTGACCTGTTTCCTCTTCATGCCTGTCTTTTTGAGGAGGAGTTCATCCACCATTGCTTGAAGACAGACAGACATCAAGATAGCTTGTTCACTGGCAATGGTAATCCACTGCAACTTATCTTTTGACATGAGATACTCAAATGACAGCTCCAGCTGAGCCTGGCCTGGACTCACACTGCTGCTACTTTCGCCTGTGCTTGTCTCTGCATTCTGTAAGGGGCAAAAGGCCATAGGCTGAAAATGTTCACATGCTTGAGAAGCTGCCAATTGTGTAGTTACTCAAAAAATTCCCAGCATTTTATGGAACCCGAGGGTTCATTACCTTGTTCACAAGAGTCCTCCACTGGTCCTTATCCTGAGCCAGATCAATCCAACCCATACCATCCCTCTAAGATCAATTTTAATATTATCCACCCATAATATTATATTTAAGCATCCTGCTGCACTCTATATGATATATGATATAAACTCCGTCCTAAGGGCAACAATTTACTGTAGGTCTTTCGTCTTGCTTTCTTCTACACTACATGTTTCGGCCGCAAACGGCCATCATCAGGTGTATACACTCACGTAGCTGTTACACTGCACTTAGTTTAAAATTTAAAAACCCATGTCTTCCCAATTGTTCCCTTCGTCATTGCTAACAGAATCTACTTCGCTGATATTTGTCTGATTCGTACATTACCTTTGTTACCTACACACGTCAATTTTGACTTTCATGAACTGGCACTTTTAAAATCTTCAGTTCCAATTTTAAAAAATTCCTTTAAAATTTTTTTTCAAATTTTAATTTTTTTTTTAAATTTAAAATTCTCTGGGTTACTCGCCCTATGTCTATAGTGCTGCAACGGCTACTTCTTGTTCTCAGCACTGTACAGGTGTTATTCTGTGTAGGCTCTCTGTGTGCGTGCCACTGCTTATCTTTACTACGTGTGCTCCAAAAACAAACTCCGTGGATAGAGTCCGCAAGCGAACTATACCGACCGAGGGACCACCGCTTGCTGGCGAAGTTAGTGCCAACTTAAGTGGATAGAGGGTGTCGCACGGTCAGTGCAACGGATCCCCATGGCCGTTAATCTTGGTTTTCTAGACCAGAGCCGCTACTTCCTTGAAACAGCTCCTAAATTATCATCATGAGGCTCAGTGGACCCCATTCAAGACCCACTTTCCAAAGTCAGTTTTATTAAATTTAGGTAATGAACCTTCAGGTTCCATAAAATGTTGTGAAATTCTCGAGAAGCAGAGTGACTGTTGGCTTCTCGAGGACAGTCCGATTAACCGTATTTTTCTTAGCAACTATAAGCTCTACAATTATTACATTTGGCACACATATAGTTGCGGGTTCTTTGTATCTCCTGACATTTTACAGAGATTTACTTCAAACACATATACTACAATAAAGTCTTTCTAAGAGACCATCCACTAGGAAGAAATTATTAAAAATAAGTATCCTTAGACACTGAAGATTGTTGTCTTCTGATATGTGATGCCATGCAGGCTGGAATACAGTTACTAACGTTCTGGACAGAACTGTTGCCGTCATCTTCAAAATAACAGCTTCATCCAAAATTTTGGTCGCTATTTACCGAACTATATGGTGTCACATCACATATGATGCTACTCTCTACAGTCACCTAGGTAAGAACCTCAATTCTGCCCTCTAGAACAAGGAACATAAGCTGCTTGAGCAGCAGCAGTCTTGGTAATATGGATTTACACAAATATTCTGCACTTTCAATATCAAATTTCAGTTGGACGCCATCTCTGATTTAGGGTTTTTCTTCATTTAATAATCCAAAGTCAATAATCTCAATACTAAATATTATCCTTGACAATTTTCTTCAGTTTATTGTTCAAATACACTGCTCTGAAAAGAAATTTTAAACATGGTTTCCATTGTACTTGGATTCTATGAATAACATACATAATGCAATAAACTAGTAACATATAAAAAAATCCCCCACCATCACCCAGCAATAATATGTAACCTTTACTTACATTGTGTAATGTTGTAATTCGCCAACATCTCATCCGTGTGACTTTAAAACAGCCCTCCCTCATGTCCTGTCCTTCTGCCAGCTTTACACGTAGATTCAACTCCCTGTTGCCGATACTCACTAGCACTCGAGACCCTGGGTGGGGATAGTCACACACGCAAGGCCGGAATTGGAGAAAACCATAGTACTTCAGAGTGCGAGCCACATCCAGGTACTGGAAAATGGAGGGACAAGTTTTGAAATAAGTGTTCTTACCTTGATAGTAAGAGCTGGGACAGCGCAGTCAGTATAGCGAATGACTACAGGCAGGACAAGCGAGGGGTCAGACTTCAACTCCCGATACAGTCAAGAACTTTCTCTTCTCCAAGTTGTCCAAACCGGCTCTGGGATCCACCCAACTTCCTATCCAATGTGTACTGGGGCTCTTTCTCTGAGGGTAAAGCAGCCGGGGCGCGAAGCTGAGCCCTCACCTCCAACTAGTGCCGAGGTCAAGAAAATATAGATATTGTGTGAACCGATGTTTTGGAGGAATGTATCACCTCCATCTTCAGGGCAGAAAAATCCACAAGTGAGGAACCAGCTTGAGCAGGTGGCTGCAAACATGAAGACGGAGGCGATACGTTACTCCAAAACATCGGTTCACACAATATCTACACAGCGCCATATCCCAGAAGGTGGCATTGTTCATAGTCACTGCCATAAAAACCTCAAATCTTATATATTAAACATATCCTGTTACAAAAGACAACAGCTTCTATGAAATGTTGGCTTGGCAACATACCTCCTTCTTGACTCCCCGAGCTTGCAGCGAAGCTAAGTGCTGTTTCATCTCCTTGCTGCTAAGCACCCAACCCTTCTCTACATCTGCCACTGTCTGTATGTACAACATATTGAGAGCCACTTGGTTTGACATGAGCTCCAAGTCATAGCCTGGATCCCAATAGCTGGATGAATAAGAACCACAATCATTAAGAAACTTTTTATTGTTGCTGGGTCAGTCCCCTTACTGCTGAGATGTGTCTGTACCACAGGTAACCGGCATCCAGATCAGTGGGAGGGCCAGTAATTCAATCATTTTTTAACTGGTGGTTGGTAACAAGAACTAAGGAGTTTAAGAATTATGTCACATTGTCTGAATGACTACTGTGATTACTTATTAAACAAAAAAACATGTCTAAAAGGTCAGTGGGTTGTCAACAGGCTAGCAGAAGGGCTAAAATAAAGCATATGTGTTGGTCGTGAGGAAAGGTAATAAAGAAAACTTACTTCTGTGAAGTAATTAAGTGGAGAGTTCTGGGTAGGTACATCTGCTACTTACAGCCTAGAACCAGAAATCTGGGAAATTCAGGTATCCAGCTTGGATTGGGCCCAAAATTTCCTGGATAAGAGGTCCAGTACCTGTAGCAGTCTAAGCTAGTTATCACAGGCTGACTGCAATGCATGTTCATAATAGCGCAGGGCAGTGCAGTTACCATTATGCTGCCAATGAAACATATAGAGTTCAATATACAGGGGGGTCCATAAAAATGTACTCACTCTTCGATAGTCAATATCTTTGGAACAAAATGACATGTAGTACATTTTTTGGACCCCTCTGTATACGTGTGTGTGTGTGTATAGTGATACATCCCAGCAGTAACAGGGGACAAATATTCAAAATTAATACATTTCTATATACACATGTTTATCCTATGTCGAAATATGCACCAAAAAAAAAAGTCCATATAATTTGATCGAAAGCATGTATACAAAGGCTGTTTCATTATTATTTACCATATTCTTATTATAATCATGACAATATACAGTGCCATACAACATAACAATTAATGGATCCATTATCATAATATAAATAATATTAATATACAATTATGTAGTTACATGTACCAGAAAACATACAACCAGCCTGAAGACCACATAACATCAAAATCTTCAGCTGAAAATTATTTTGTATTAATACATAATGCATGGTTTAGTGAGCTGTTACTTATCAACGACATACAACAATGTACTTAAATTTAAAATTGAAGCAGAACAACATCAAGTGCTGTTTAACATTAGTGAGATATTTTATTACGAATATGATGGTGCCTTTGTATACAAATAGATGCCATGAAAACATTTATAAAAATGAAATTAAATGTTGATATTTTTAATTTCTGAGATGTTTTCAGAAAAAAGGTTATTCATATACTTTCACGAATTAAGTCACAAAAAAAACATGGCATAAGAAATTAAATTTATTAGAGACTAATGATGATGAAAATCATCTATATAAGATTTTCAAGCATTCAAGGCAAATAAATTCATTAACCCTTTGACGTGGTCATTTAAATTCCGCGGCCGCGGCTCCTGCGGTAATATATTCAGCCGGCCATTTAAATTTTGCTCGAAAATTATTTATTCATCATTGTTCTTAAATTCTATGAGATAGGAACATGAAACTTTCACTAAAATGATCTTAAATGGTGGTTTTATAACCTTACCTTATAATATGNTGATATTATAAACACCAGCACATATCAGTCTCTGGTGTTTATAGCTTCAGAGCAAACAAAACACATCATTCATAACAGAAACAGCTCGCAATAGCCACAGGAACGTTGCTGCAAGACAGGCATATGTAACGACGACTTAGCGCTCTTAAACGCGTGTGTCATTAAATACAGTCCTCCTGACAACAGGCCAGTGAAAAATCTAACAATCTACAGCAAAACCATCAATTATTATGGGCGTTATAACATACGTGTGCAGCTGGACGAAACATACACGTCGAACCCCCCCAGACGATTTAAATCCCTGACGAAACATACACGACGAACCACGGCAACGGGTTAAAATCGCTTCCCAACCATCCCAATGGCGAGTTGAAAATCACAGTTTCAGGGATCTCCTGTCTCCATCATCAAGCAAATTTGGTAGCAGATTAACTGTAAAGCCTGGAAGAATGGGAGATGAAATTCTACCATCCTGATTTCACATGCTGTTTACCTTTTCCTGAGAACAACACGATGGACGCCTTGGATGGACTTCTGTGATATGTATGGAGATTCAAAATCCTGAAGTTTCCTCAAAACTGTCCAGAAAAGAAGAGAAAATAAGAATTACAACACAACAGATCTACATTCAGTAAACAATACAGTAATTAAAAGATATACTCCAAAGGCATACTCAGCTATTCTGCATACACCACTCACCAGTGCACTCATTTATTCCATAACAAACCAATCATTTATTATTTTGCTTTCCACAGACACAAATACATATAGATGTACTATGTATTAAAAGTTTACAACATGTTTTAGCCTTTTGGCCTCATCAGGTATCACACGTGCACCTTTAACTCATCTACTCTTTTACCTACACTGGCCATCGTTTGCATATGGCCAATGTAGGGCAAGAAAAAAGCAACAAACATAAGGTATATGGCCAAAGTAATGCAACAACTGGACCAGATGCTGTGACATGTTAAACCATTTTCTGTGTCATATAAAAAGATGAAATACTACATTTGGAGCATAGCTCTGTATGGGGCTGAAACTTGGACACTTAGGGCAGTAGATCAGAAACACCTGGAAAGCTTCAAAATGTGGTGTTGGAGAAGGATGGAGAAGATCAGTTGGACCGATTATGTGAGAAATGAAGAAGTGTTAATTAGAGTCAGTGAGCAGAGGAATATCCTACATGAAATAAGAAAATGGAAGGCTAATTGGATTGGTCATGTTTTACGCAGAAACTGCCTTCTAAAAGAAGCTATCGAAGGAAAGATAGATGGGCGGATAGAAGTGACAAGAAGACGAGGAAGAAGACGTAAGAAGATGCTGGATGACCTTGGGGACAGAAGAGGATACTGTCATTTGAAGNCATTTTAAGGAAAAAGCTCTAGATCGCATTAAGTGGAGGAACTGTTTTGGAAGAGACTGTGGACCTGTCGTCTTGACAGATTACTGATGAATGAAATGATAAAAAGGTGCATCAAATTAAATGAAATATATGAATAAATAAATAAAATGTGTTGATATTTAATCAGTAACCTTGAAGATCCGCTACAAAGGTGTACATTATGCCCTGTACAGCCAGTACAGTCATGAACCGTCTCCTATTTATTCAGGTGTAGCCAAATTAAAGAGTTCATGTAAACTGACTGTGAACTCACTTGTTATGTCTCCATCCTCTTCTCGTTTTATCAGAAACAGAGAAAAGTAATATACATATTCACTTGGCAGGCTCAATTTATCACAAGCTTTCTGCAACACACAAAAATTCAAATTTAGATATAAGATATCACAAAATAGCACACAATTTTTTCTTTTAATTTCTTGAAGTGAGGAGAGACTGAGTCCACTTGGTATGTCTGCCACCAACTGGCCTATTGTACCAGCCCTGGATGATAGATGATGACTGTGGAGTGGTCAGTGGAATGAGAATTAGCAGAGGAAACCTAAGCACTTCAAGAAAACCTGCCCCAGTGCCACTTTGTCCACTAGTGGCCGCGCCATAGCTCAAGTAGTTAATTGCTGACCTCCCACCGCAGCGACCTGGGTTTGATCAAGTGGGATTTGTGGTGGATAAAGTGGCGCTGGGGCAGGTTTTCTTGAAGTGCTTAGGTTTCCTCTGCTAATTCTCATTCCACTGACCACTCCACAGTCATCATCTATCATCCAGGGCTGGTACAATAGGCCAGAAGTGGCTGCAGTACAAGGGACTTACCCCACCCCACTAGCATTAAAAAAAGTATTGTCCACCATAAATCCCACATGACCTGACCTGGGCTTCTATGCAGGCCGCCACAGTGGGAAATCATTTCTTTTTTACAAATAGTTTCAACTATATGGGCCAGAAGGGAAACAAATATCTACCACGTCTACACACAGTAATGCAATACACTGCAATAGTACACCAGTACCTGTGTCCATTCTTCACCACTCTTTTTTTGCGTATATTCACACACTTTGTATCTCCACTTGGTCCTCATTCTCCCTGATGGTAATTATTCAACATCTTAACTCCGGATGGTCTTGAACCAATCATACTATAATACATATCTGTGAGTACCCTTCATTTGAGGACTTTTTATTTTTCTTTTATTGATAGTGGGGTGGGACTAAGTCCCTTGTACTGCGGCCACTTCTGACCTATTGCACCAGCCCCAGATGATAGGTGAGGGTGATTGTGGAGCAATTAGTGGAATGAAGAGTGGCAGGGGAAACCGACATACTCGGAGAAAACCTGCACCAGCGCCACTTTGTCCACCACAAATCCCACTTGACCAGACCCGAGATCGAAGCCGGGCCGCCGCGGTGGGAAGCTAGCGACTAACCGCTAGAGCTATGGCATGGCCCTTCATTTGAGGATTTACTATCTTCTGGGCGGTAACGCTATGTAGACCAGAACAAGTTCACTAATGTTTCTTCTTCAGGCTCAAAGAGTAAGCCAAACAAGTAGCCAGAAAGAAGCAGATGGAAGCCTTGTAATTCCTAAAAATTATGTCGTTACACAATGTCATAACCCGTCAGATAGTGCTCTTTGTAGATACTGCTGTACTTACTTACTCATGGAGCTGAGCCCTTCTTGACAAGCAGCCAATTCTGCAGCTACTCAAGAATTTAACAGCATTTTATGGAACCCAAAAGTTCATTACTGTGTTCACAAGAGCCCTCCACTGGTCCCTACCCTGAGCTACATCAATCCAATCCATACCATCCCATCCTATCTCTCTAAGAACCATTCTGATATTATACACACACATACGCCTTGGTCGTCCCTGTTATTTCTTTCTGGCTTTCCCACCAATATCCTATATGAATCTGTCTCCCCCATTCGTGCTACATGACCTGCCCACCTCATTCTCCTTGACTTGATCCATCTAATTATACTTGGAGAAGAGTACAAGTTATGAAGCTCCTTATTATGCAGTTTTCTCCAACTTCCTGTCACTTCATCCCTCTTCGGTCCAAATATTTTCCTTAACACCTTGTTCTCAGGGTGGCCTTTTGGCTAAGATCAAAGTGTAGAATGGGTTCTTATCAGATACTGCTGTTAAGAACCTCAAACCTAACCTTAATTTCATGAACTTCAGTAGCACTGATTCACAGAGTAACGCATATCACGCTTTTAATAATCATACACTGGTAGCCCATAAAATTTTTCCCTCACTAATCCTGAGAAAGAACATCTTGTTAATCCGCAGCTGATGGACATCTAACTGTTCAGGTAGTGTTACCTATTTTTAAGGCTATGAAAGGTTCCTGTCTGAGAACTCAAAATCTGACAACAGAACTGTCCATGTGCTTAATTAATTAAGCAGCCATGAAGACCCGTGCAGAAGTGGAGGTATAGCTCCACTATTCTTGACCTTGGCACTAGATCCAGGTGAGTAGTTAGCTTCATGTCCCAGCCACTTTACCCTGGGCAAACAGCCCTTGGCACCCATTGGATAGGAGGCTGAATGGGCCCCAGCCATGGTCTGGACACTGTAGGAGAGAGAAAAAATCTCCTGTCCATGCTGGAAACCGAACCCTGGCCATCCAGCACACAGTTCCGCTGTAAAGGCACTAAATAAAGCATGAAAATAAAACACATTTTATTTTTTTCAGTTCATACCTCAAGAACTTGGTCAGACCTCTCAGTTGTCATGACATTAAGCGAGACCTTGTATCCATTCATGAGGAAGACATCTAGTGGGACTTCTTGGCACTTTTCACAACTTGTTTCTTGCTGTGCTGATAGCAGGAAGCCATTAAATAGATCAGTGGTCACCAGTTGAGGATCTTGACCAACTGTAAGCATGATGACACAAATTAATTCAGAATCCAGCCCTACAGGGAGATAATTGGATCCATAAAGTGAAAATAAATGTAATGTAACATAATGTAAATAACACATGAACAATTTGTTTTATTTTGTACAAGCTGTTGCCAAGATCAGGCCTCTGAAAAGCTACAATCATAATTACACACTTTCCTGTCAGACAAACAACTCCTGCTTCTGTGCTGCAACATTAATTAGTGATGGGAATCCAGATAGCTGATTTCTCCACCATACAAATTTTATTTGTATTTGTGGTTCTCACAAAGATGATTACAAACAGCATAATCTTCTGGGTTGTATTTCCATGTAGTTCGGTATAAGTCCACTGATGTTTCAGCATAATGCTGGTGGGCTTCGCCAGAAAACAGACGGTTTTATGACCCAGAAGATAGTATTATTAAAAACTTGTATAAATCTGATTTGTTTGAAGCACAACAAACAAAAAATTATCTCAATTAGAAACAAATAAAACATAAACTGAAAAAGAACAGAAAATTGTTGGCATTATGGCTGTTAGAAGAGCAGGTTTTCTCTTCATAAAGGAGTGTGTTTAAAAGAGACATAACTGTCTCAAACATTGCTAAGTATGTTACAAGACATCTAATGAAAATCTGAACAAAAAGTACCAAGCAGATTGAATGTTATGCTTAAAAATATTTACTGCAGTGTGTATTGCTGCAAATTAATTCCATACTGCAGGCACATTTCTGCTGTATTAAATTCGGGGTTCTTAGAGGGGTGAATATTAAGATTATGGTCTTCTAAAATGTCATACTGTATAGTCTGACAGACAGGTGGCAGTGTTTCCAAGAAGCTTTCTGCTTCCATTTTATACAGGGATACTGTTCCTCCGAAAAAATGGTTCCCGTTTACCATGCTACATGGCATCACACCTGTGATGACTGCAATCCCAAGAGCATTGCTGGTTACACCTTAAGTAAAATCGCAATCATATGCTACAAAACATACACATAATCCTTCACTCACAGTAGAAAATTTAAATTCTTTTTAAAATATATATTTTATTCTAATACTGAATACATAATTAAAACAACAAGCTCTTGAGATGCCACACACAAACCCTAATACCAGCTGATAAAGACATCCGTGTAACAGGTCCTGAAGGCCCACTGGGTTGTGAGACATCGAGACTCCCACATTTTCTAGACAATCAGCTCACAGATGGCAGTAAGGTTGTCAACCCTACACACTGGCCACCCTTTACCCCCAGGAAGATTCCTGGTACTCAATTCTGTTAGAGGAACCCAGGACCATAGTGCAGTTGGAAGGATGAGGTCAACTGAAAAATCCAATGACCTTATTGGGAATTGAACCTGCAACCTTCTAGCTTGTAGCATAGTGCCTAAACCAACTATGCCAGCTGTTATCCTATACAAATGTTACCTGACTGAATGTATTTTTCAAGCATTCCACGTCTTTCCTCCAGCTGACTGGACGATAATGGAAGAAGTCTTTTTGGCGGGAAGACAGGTAAATTATTGGCACCATATTCTTTCTTGAGTTGCTCATGCAAGTTGTGCAATTGTCTGTATCGAACTGTACAGTGAAACACTCCATTTATGTGGATGTTGTAGCCCTGTATAATGCAAACATCATATTTCAACTCCTGTGACAGAGTAACATCCTGAATTAATAACTACACTGGAACAAGAAAAGTGGAAAGGTGAAACTGATTACTGCAAAATATATATCTTATACATCTACATCCCTGATATTTGCTACATCCTCATGTTTTGTGGGTTCTTCATGATTATTTTACCCTTTGAACCTCATTGGTTACCATACGCACCATTTGCTTTAACATACTAAAGCTCTGCATTCTTCCGACAGAGTGTATTTGTGTGTTCCATATGGTTCTTACAGTAAACAGCAATGTTTTCCCAAACACAATTAACTGGCTGGGCTTTGTAGGGGAGACATAATGTGTTTCCTGTGAGGTACAAACTAAATTGATATATACTGCATTGTGCCACAGAGTGCATTTGTGTGTCCATATGGTTCTCACAGTAAACATTTGTTACCCTAAACAGCATTAACTGGTAGGGCTTTGTAACAAGGCATAATGTGTTTCCTGTGAGGTAAGAACTGAATTGTTATATATTATTTACAATAAATTAAATCTTTAAAGGGTTAATAATGATGTGTCCAGACTGTACAGTGTCAGACAGTAGGATGACTGACTAGCTGTAAAGGATTTGGAAGGAAAGGGGAATGGTCTAATCAGGGTACTAAAGTGACTGGGGGAATAAGAGAACTAAGAAGATAACCAGTGTCCCAAAATTTGAATTGAGCATCTCCTGAATATAGGCCTACAGCGTTACATCTAGGCCAGTTCATGTTTTGTGGCCAAAGCCATCAATTGCCTACAATTTAAACTGTGATATCAACAAGCAGTAAGACTTGGCTCATATGCTTGTAACTTGTACCCAAGATGTGCCTGGTTCAAATCTATGTTGAAACATGTTCTTCATGTTTACCTCAGCTCCTCCAGACAAATCCAAATAAATAAATAAATAAATAAATAAATAATCAACAAATTCCCTCCTCATCCTTTCTAATTCACCATTCACTTGTGGGAACTGCCCACATTCAAGCAAATGTGACAACGCAAATATCATTGCTTAGCAATGGCGAGTATACAGCTGTTGTTAGGCAAAGTGAGTAAACAGCGGTTGCTAGGCAAAGAGAGTAAACAGCAGTTGCTGTACTGAGCCTCGATTGACAGAGGCCCTGTATATATTGTACATAGAAATAGGAATTAAGATTAAATTTGTAAATATCTGTAAATACTGACAATAGACTTACTGACACAGAATATGACTGACAAATGACAGACCCGACCTCTTGTCAGAGAGGGCGCTCCAAATGAACAGGACAGTAACTTTCATATAAGAAAAAAAAAAAGAAAAGAAAAAAAAATCTGGTCTTGAGCCCCAGTCAGGGCTCGACACCAAGACAGACAGACTGACGGATCGTCAGTCGCAATGTGACTTGGACTTGGGGAAGTTTACAGTTACAGTTCTACAATTCTAGTTCAGCGTTCGAGGAATTTGCTATTATTATTATTATTATTCTTCAAGTCTTCAAACTCAAGTTCATCCATGTACACTGTGCAACTGTAATAAATATTATAGAACAATTCAACAAGTGGTTCTCTCTTCATATAATGACATCCCACACACTACTCATTCAATCATTTAATACTATACACCATGAAGTACTGGCAGCATCATTAAACAAATGATTTTAAAAAAACTTAAGTAAGTGATAATCCCTCAGCACAATTTAATTTAAGACTTTTTCAATTTCTTACAAATCTAGTTTGCTTTTCATCATCTGTTATGTATACAAGCTGTTGAAAAAGTAACATCCAAAGGTGTGTTGCACAGCATCCAGAACAAGGGATAATGGACAGACCAATTTTTCCGTGTAATTGCCAGACCAAGCGAGACATTTATCTCAGTGATAAACATGTTCAGTTATGATGAACCATAGTTCCTTCTCTGTAGGAACTGAACACGTAGTGTATAGCCAGAGAAAATGTCTCAGTCACTGTGGTGATTATGTGGAGAAACAGACGTTTTGTCCGTCATTTCTTGTACTATTTGACATCTATACTTCAGTAGTAAAAGCGAGTGTAACAGACTAAGTTACTTATGGGACACACGTCACGTCATCTTCAGTATAATTTTAGATGACGAAATCAACTCTAATTACATATTTTTATTCCTCCTCTGAATATAGTCAATGCAAACTGAAACTCTATTGGGAGTTGTGTGGTTATTTAACGACGATGTCACTATCGAGATTATAAAGCATATTGGTCGTTAGGCACGCACTCTCTTCTCTAATTCGTTTGATAATATTTCATCAAAACAACAGTACAAACAACCCCTACCTAAACCAGACTATGAATGGCAGTTAATAACGTAAACAACAAAAATGTCATTCATCTCCACCACCGCTGACACCTGTTTTCACGGACTTTGCTTGAAAGTGACAGATCTTACCATATACGTTGAACCATTTTCATCGCTAAATTCTTCTGTATCAGGAATAGAAAAATGCATTTTTATTCGTTATTGTAGTTCATATCACTTGTTCTATCACATATAAAAATCGTTACTCAAATCTTCGAATATGCGTTCAAATAAAGTAAAAAACTCAAAATAACTGAATCATCTTTCTACCATTTTGCTTCCCAAACACCCATTCCGAAGTTCGTGTTTCCAAGGGTTCCAATCCACCAAGGATGCAGGACCACGGTTACTAATCTATAGCAAATAATTTCCAACATTTTATCGGCTGCTTAGGTTTTCTTCAATATAATTGCATTATAAATATTTATTTTAGGTATAACTTAATTGCACTGGTGTAGATAAATATTACTTGTCTGGAATTTTGCTTGCTTTTGAGGCTAAACTATACAAAAAAAAAATGTCGAGAACGGCATACCATTACGTACCAAAACTCCGGAAAGTTTCGCCTGTTTGATCTTTTGGACATTTGAATGATATACTATTCGATATTTTTAATAGATTTCGCACATTCGTATTGAAGTAGTAGTTAATCAAGTTCATTATCAACCACCAGCGTGACGAATTTCATGAGTCCTGCTATACTATTGTACCCCGTATTGAGGGACACCGGGCTACACTTTTATGCCTGGGGCAACAGCCTTTTTACGGCCCCTCTTCCGATTCGTTAATGAAACCAAATAGAGGTAACCTGTCTTCGTTCACCTTCTTTCTTGTAGGGCACAAATAAAATACCCTACTTCTTTGCAACAATTGACATTGAACTGCACTATATTTCCAATTTATGTGTTTTGCTGTCATAACCCCATCTCTTGCATCTTTCGAAAGATGCATAATCTTGTTGTAATGGTTGCAACATCATCCTGAACAAGATTCTGTTGTAGTAGAGCCTACAGAATGAAAATATATATTACACATTCACCTTCAATTTTGCTTCGTGAATGATGAAAATCCAAGTATCTATGGGTATCTGCTCCTGGTGATTATTGTCTGGGGGGGGGGG